ATTTTTTTTTTTTTAGTTATATCTTCATGTATCATGATATTGACAATTAGATTCTGGATAAAATATACAAAAAAAAAATGTTGTTTGAATTTTAAAAAAAAAAATTAATAAACCTTCACTCAAATACTTTTTATAAACTATACATTCCATGAGAATTTCTCTTAAAAGAAAATAATAAGTTAAGTTTGTATACTTGTGTATGTTTGTGTGTGTCTATGTATATACAAACCTTAAATGAAAAATTATTGATGTTGATAAAAAAAAAAACACGTATAACAAAGTAAAATAAACTTGTAATCAATACCAATTTTAATATCACTTGAGGGATTTGTATTAGGTAATCAAGTTGAGTATATTTTTTTTCAGACGGTATGAAATGAGGTATAAAAAAAAAAATCTTTAAGATAAAGACTGATATAAGTTTAATCATTTGTGAAATGAGTATAGAATATAATTGACTAATTACTAATGAAAAAGATATAAAAAAATAGATTTTATAATTTTATAATTTAAAATTTAATAGAATGGGAACCAAAATACGTGGGGGTGGGAATAGCCGAACCCATGTCTTATCCTCTCTACCGAAGACTTGATCAAAGCACCAAGCCTAAAAGCTGTCCAGTTCACATAGGGAGGGATGATCTATTGATATGGACCCCCACATTGACTTATTAAACTAATAATGTGCCAAGTCATAGTTTTAAGACATGAAACAGGTGGCCGGTCAATCAGAGCCGTCCATCTATCGCTTTAGACGGCCACGATAGACGTAATGGATGAGGTGGCCGGTAGACGACTGACATCATTAGGTGTCTCCTGCTTAGGCAAGTGTCTCGCGTGATGATCCACAATTCGTCACCGCCAAGACTAAGAAGGAGCCAATTACACGACTTAATCTGTCAATTTGATTAGGAAACATTGCACTTTTACCCCTGTCAGTTATGATGGTGTTTCATTGTGGCCCATCAACTATTAATTTTTTTTTTCATTTCCCTTAATACTTAAATATATTTCACATTTTTCAAATATAAAACTTTCTTAATGTTTTGGACAAAAATATCCTTATGCGTAGTATTGTTTCCAATGTCTAAATCTGGGACACTACCCTCATGCAGGGGGTAAGATTGTCTACATCGAACATTTCCCAAATCCGTAGTGCCAAGAGACTCTTGAATTATGCTGCCCTTATAAAGCAATAATCATAATTGAAAGTCCAATGGTAAAAAATGTAATAGTTGAGACGATAATGTGGGATTAATAATCATAATTAGGTGTATAATATAAGAAACGTGATAGTTGAGAGAGCAATATGAGATAAAAGCATAGTTGAGAGGATTAGCCAGAGTTTAATTTGCCCATTTGATTATTTAAATCTCGGAGCAGTCGTAAGCATCGAGGTAGGGTTGTCATTATTGAGAACCTAATGAGTCATGATTTTGATTATTTAATTAATGATTAAATTATGATTCTTAATCACATGGGTGGATGCTTCTGATTCTTGTGGGAAAGACAAATTCTCTAATTTTTTTTATTGAGAGAATCCCAGTGGTAATTTGTTTTCTTGTGAGAGTAAGATGCGATTTGTAATGCAGGAACGTGGGTATGTGTTGTATGAATCAAACCAATGATTCAAAACAAAAACTAGGGTTTTATTATATTGACCACCCTAAAATCCTACTGTCCTGTTTAGTTTAGTTCATGGGAAGAAAGGACTTGAATGAAGAGACATAAAAAAAAAAAGTGGTAAAAGAGGACCATTATGCCCAAGTTGGTAAGATGTGTTAGGTCCTATCCATCAGATCTTGGATAAAAATTTTGCTTTGGTTCAAAATTTGGATCAATTTAAAAATGAAAACATTTTGAAAACATAATGGGAACAAATATTAATAATGTTCTTATGAAACATTAAAATATATAAAAAAAAATTAATATACAATTGTCAATTTGTCTGAAAACTTAAAAGTTGTTATTTTGATCCATACTTTAGAATAATTAACTTACTGGAAGTCATAGCATTCTTTTATGTTTTGAACCTTTTGTGTGGGATACGAGTTTTTTGGGTTGAAATCCTCTTTAATATATTTTTACTTAATTTTGTTAAATGTAATAAATCACCTACCATCAATTCAAATAAAGTTTACTATTTATAGATGGATTGCTCATCTATACACGTTGAGGGTGATATATATTTACAATAGATTTACGCAAAGTTCCTATTTATGAGTAGGTTAATTGTCTATATAGTGATATATTATTGAATCAAATTAAATGAAAGTGTGAATGTCTGTGTTCTCATTGAGAGAGAGAGAGAGAGAGAGAGAGAGAGAGAGAGAGAGAGAGAGAGAGAGAGAGAGGACACAATCAACCTTGAAGACTCGTAAGTCTGAAAACGTGAATGGATTAGCAAGATTTCGTAAAATGATGGCTTTTGCGGCCTTGGCCTTCTGAAGAATTCCAAACCCAAAAACTTGAAGTTCTCTTTGTTGTGTGTGTGTGTGTGTGTGTGTGAGAGAGAGAGAGAGAGGGGGGGGGAGAAAGAGATTATTACTGAGGGTAGATTCTGAAAATGTCCCATCCAAAAAGAAAGGTCGGTGATTCTCCATAGGATCATTGGCCCATTGTTAACATCAATCTTTCAAATAATAAACAAAAGCCACCTCAACCCTCCCTACAGCATCCCCACCTACATTATTACCATTATATTATACACATAAGTACAGAGAGAGAGAGAGAGAGAAACGTTTCTTAACCTTTAAACGAAACTTCACTGTTGATGCCTAACAAAGCAAAGGATTTTTATTAATGCTGCACATTGGCACACCATCCTCAAACAGTTCAGACCAAACTCCATAAAAGAAACCAAAAGTATGCCATCTGGTCTTTTTATCTTTCGACTTTTCAACTTTACAAAAAGAAACCGCTAAACTTATAAAATATGTATAGTTTAGACTTTTAAAAACTAATCCTTGTCCTTTTTCATCACAGCACAATCTCATAAAAGCTATATGCCTAAGTCTCGTCATAGTCTGCTTTTAAATACTTATAATCCTTCCTTGTGATCCTTGATATTGTCAAACGATATGTTTTGTTAAATACATTATACCTACTAGCACAATTTTCTAGGATCATTTCTCATATCTATGCTTTATGTTCAAAGTCTGGACTAAAAGCTTACCCCTACACATCATGAAAAGTGGTTGGAATTGCCACAACGTCTAGTGGGATCTAAAGTGGGTACTTAAATGGAGAGCAGAGATACATTCTGAACCACAATTGAATGAGAAGTCAAACCATGTTGACTTCAATGGATTTAGTGCAAAACTAGAAAGACTCTCTCTCTCTCTCTCTCTCTCTATATATCTCACACACACCCCGCATGCACTCACAGTCAGACTCACACAGGCATGCACACGCACTGCAGTTCTAATTGGCTCTAACTCTGCACGATAAGTAGAATTTTATAGGCATAATCTGGGAAATTACAGAATTACCTTAATATAAAGGTAGATAACATGTATTTCAACACACTAATTAACATTTCTTTCACCTTTTTTTTTTTTTAATTTTTGAAGAATAAATTTTGAAAAACTGGAAGGGAAGGCTAATCTTTCAATTTTTATCTCGTTCTCATTTTTTTCCTTACTAAACATGATGATTTATATATTCTTTTAATTTTTTATCATTCTACTTATTCATCATAAAAAAAAAAAAGCATTAATCATAATAACTAAAAGATAGAAATGGAATCAAGAAGAAAAGGTCTAGGAAGGTGGTGATGGTTAGGTGCTAACGAAAAGTGCTCTTTCATCCCTACCTATTCTTTGCTTCTTTTTTAAAACTTTCTTTTTTCTAGATAAGCTTAAGGGGTTCTTTTGTTTCCATACTACTTATTGCAAAGTTTATTCAAATTTAGATTTAAACAAGGTTTTTCTATCTTTAATTGTACGTGATGGAAAATTTCAATGAGCTTTACACCATCAATAATGTAAGTTGTTTTGTACGAGTTTTCAAGTAGATTCTTTATTTCAATTTGTAGAGAATCTTTAGTTTTTTTGATCTTTTCTAGATATTTTTTTTTTTTGATAACCCAAGAATCCCCCACCAACCAACTCCATTTAGACCCGTGGCCAATAATCAACTAGAGTCCACAAGTAAATCCTCCGGTTAAGGTGTAGGGATTAAATCTAGGAAAGGTGACCCTAAATAGCATTTTTACTTTGAGGAGTATTAAACCCTTCATTAAGGCATCTATCAAGTGATCAACTACCACTTGAACTAACCCCTTGGAGATTATTGTTTCTATAGTTGTTATTATTAATTAAGATGCTCAATCATTTTTGTTAAAACATGTAAAATATATTATGCTTTCCTCTTTGCCTTCTAAGATAATTCTTTTTGTCCAGGGAAAGAAAAAAGGAAATGCTACACCAACCAAAGTCACTCAATAAATCTCCTCACAAAGGGACGTGGCACATGATTACATATTTGATAATTTTCAGAAAAATATAATAATAATATTTCATTATCATGTATGTATGTGCAATTATATTTCTAGGTGAATGGCTAGGGTTCATGTATAATTGCAGGCTAATACTCTTCAAAAAAAAAAAAACATAATACAATGTACAAACCCAACATATACCCATCATGAAACGAGAGGAAGTGGTCCTCGTTTCGAAACGTTTGCCGATAAATGCGGCTACTTGCCGCCTCTTTACTTTTGTATCAGTTTGCGTATGGAAGATGACTTTTTGTAACTATTGGAGACGACGCGAGAGAGAGAGAACAAAAATATGGTAAAATATATGTTTAAATAACAAAAACAGTTGCAGGATTTGACCCATTTAGACAATATAAAAATACATGTATGTATGTAGAACAATCAACCAGCTCAAAACCCTATTAGATGAATTAAATCATTACAAGTTAACAACTCTTTTCCTTCATTGTTGCGTATGGAGAAGAGCTGCTTTGTATGAAAAGTCAGCGACTCTCTCTTTCTCTCTCTCCGCCCTCAAAACCATTTTTTTTATTCATTTGTTTGAGAAGAACAACACCAGTTTCAACCATCAAAAACGTGTTTGCTTCTTCAACGTCAAAACCCTCCAAATCATTCACCGGAAAAACACCTTCAAAGAGCATGTTCTTCACGTCTGTTTGGTGCAAGAAATACCAAACTTTAGAGGTCAAATGAAACTCTATTGTATTGTTTCTTTTTAAGTATGTGCAGTAACTTCCTTAAGAGAATGGAAAGTCATCAAGGTGATTTAGCTGACATAGTTAGAGCAATCGGTGGACCGATAAGCGGCGGTATCGGCAACACCTCCGGCGAGCTACCGGCTGTCAACGATTGGCAGTTTCCTTCCGATCCCATGAACTATCCTTCAGGGATCGAAGTACTCTCCGATGAATTTGGCGATCCGTTTTACAGCATGAGAGATCCACTTCGTCACGAGCTCTATATGCCCAGTTCAGGCTTTTTCAATAGCTCAAATTCAATCAGTTCAACAAACATAATGAAGGCTACTAGTGTTGAAGACACGGGTGGCTTTGGTGGTGGTGGTGCAATTATTGCTCAGAAGACTCCTGATCAGGAGATGAAAAGACCTTGCAATATTTTCTCAAGGATGCTTCAGATATCTCCGAACGTTAAGTTTCCACTATCTCCTCGTGATTCTCCAGTGGCGGTCGCATCACCGAGGGAAGTTAAGCCTCCTAGCTTAGTTTCTAATGATATGACAAGTCCAAGCAGCTCTAAAGGTTCCTTATTAGAAAACTCGGGGGTTCAGATCTCAACTCCGAGAAATACGGGCATTAAGCGAAGGTAAGAACTGATTCAATCAATTATGTATAGGTCAAATCTTCATGTTTTATTGGTTTTATGATCAGATTCTTGTAAGATTCTGATGTTATATGCCATAATTAAAGCATAAAAACAGAAGCTTTATAGTTAATTATAAATGGTGTTGGTTGTAACTTGTAGAAAAGATTGATCTCTCAAGTTTATAGAACTTGGGTTTATTCATATTAGCTGTGAAGATCTGAAATTAGGGTTTGGAGAAACAAATAAGAGTTGCAAGCATATAAATAATTTGAGTTGATATTGCTTTCTGTCAACATTTTCTCACAAAACAAGCACTATATCTGGAGGCGTATTAATCCATCATAAAAGTAGCCAAACTGCTGTCAAAACTATGTACACAGACTTATCTTTCATGTAGTTATCTATAACTACTTTCCTCCACAAAACCACCTGCAAAAGATTTGCGTTTAATGGTCGTGGCCATTAGAATTTGCTATCACTTTCAGCTTTCTTAAAGAAAAATAAGCCAAGACCCATGACAGTTTTTCATCCAAACAGTAGTATTGAACTACTTTTCGACCACTGAAAGAAACTTATTGAGTTCATTAAATCCATGTCTTAGACTCTTTGTTAGAACACTATCTTGACTGTGTCTTTGCTTTGTGACACTTAAAAAAAAACAAGCTTTGTTTTGAACTGAATGTACTCAGGAAGAGCCAGGCAAAGAAGGTAGTTTGTATACCAGCACCAGCACCTGCAAACAGTAGGCCTAGTAGTGGAGAAGTAGTTCCATCTGATCTCTGGGCTTGGAGAAAGTACGGTCAGAAGCCTATTAAAGGTTCTCCTTATCCTAGGTAAGGTCGTTCTCAGTCTCATATCTTCATCAGATAGTTCTTTCAATTCTTCTGGAATCATTCTATGTTTTGTTATTTTTTCATGCTCTTTTTAGCATTTTTTTGAGACATTTAATTACTAATTGTTAATAACTTGTCATGCTTGATCAACATATTTAACAAACATAATATCACCCAATTATAAGTAGCCTTCTTGTTAGTTAGAAGTCGACCTGCAACTTTTGTCAAACACGTATGAAGATGAACAAAGTTATAAAATTGCTTGCTTACCAAAAAAAAAAAAAATTTAAAATTCCTTTAGAATGGGAAAAGTATTCTAACCCACAAATTTCTCCAGCAATAAAAACCTTTTTAATTTGTTGAATTACATCAATATTCTTTTATACCTTCTTTAACAACTTCAAATTTTAAATTAATTGTTCGGTCTGCAAAATGTGAGAAGAGGAGTCCTATACTCAAATAATACAGTTGTTAAAAAGAAAAGCACGTATTTGACTCAAAATTTAACCTACACAAGTTAAAGTATATAAGTTCTTAAGTCACCCTCTGTATACACTTAATCTTTTAGAGTAATTGGTCGTTTTGATATAATTAGCATGATACAAGATTCTTGATATATCAAGTCTTAGAATATAATCTAACTCCTTATTAAAGAAGCACAGAGAATAATCTTAGTTCAGTACTATAGGCTTTTGTTAATTTATGTAATTTTACAACTATACATGCAGGGGCTATTACAGATGCAGTAGCTCTAAGGGCTGTTCAGCAAGGAAACAAGTGGAACGTAGCAGAACAGACCCCAACATGTTGGTCATCACATACACTTCTGAGCATAACCACCCATGGCCTACCCAGAGAAATGCTCTTGCAGGCTCTACTAGATCTCAACCATCCAAGAACACCTCATCTTCCAAGAATTCACCAGCCTCTCAGGCTCAAAAAACAACAATGTTAAAGGAAGAACATAAGGAGATCAATAATGATAATGTGTCCATCGCCACTGGGAGTTCAATAACAAGCACAGTCGTGAAAGAGGAAATGGAAGAGCTTGATGAGAAAATAGAAATGGAAGATGGTGAATTCAGTGAAGGATTTCCTCAGAGCTACAGGCCAGAATTGCCAGACTCCAATCATTCTGAGGATTTCTTTGCAGATTTAGGAGAAATAGAGGCTGACCCTCTAAATCTCTTGTTCACTCAAGGTTTATCAGGAGATGAGAGAGTAGACAAGGCCCTTGATCCATTTAGTTTCTGTGATTGGACAGCAAATAACAGTACCAGAAACCACTACACATCCTTTGGAGAAGGCTAAAAAGGGTTTATAAAAAAGACCATGAAACAACAAGACCCACAAGAAAACAGACACTTGTAAGGTTTTTTCTGGGGTGCAATTTGATTCAAGGTGCCACTCTTATGTGAGTTCAGTTGTTGGGAGGTTTTTTTCTACTCTCTTAACATTTTCTTGCTGTGTAACTATATTATGAAAAATACTTTTTAGTACCGCACCTCTTATTTTTCACTTATCAGACGAGCAGTACCATTTGTGCTATCTTTCTCTTGTTATTTACCAGAAGAGTCAGAAGTTTAGGAGGAAAAGTGAAAGAGAGTGCTGGTTGATTGGGAGCAGACCCCATGAGTCCCACATTCCTTTTGGAATATTGGAGGATGGGACAGAAAGCTGAGGAACAGAAGGTTTGAACAGTAAATACAAGTACATCCATCAGACATGACTGGAAAGCTCAGTGAGGAGATTGATGTTAGATGGGACTCTCTCTCTCATCTTTCAAAGTGGGATAAATTATTCAAGCCAGGCCCTGTTGGTCATGTGGGCATACCACCAAGAAGAACCATGCTTTAATAACTTTGAAGGGAAACAAACAAATTATAAAAGGTTGCAAGATTTAAGGGGGAAAGTATTATGAAAAGCTTGACTTTTCTGATCAGTCTTCCATAGGGATATGCAGAAGAGAGACAAAATACAAACTTTGGTTTCCTCAGCTTTCTGTTTCTTTAATCTATCTGAGTTTGTGTTTATATTGGGTTGTTTATTTCCATTTGTTCTACCTATAAAAGGATTGTTTATGAGAAGCAAAGGAAAATACCATCTAGTCTAGTCGGCTCTATCTGTGATGAGTTTTGGAAAAATGAGTACAATATGACTATTCAGGTAGGCATAGTTCTTATATTTTCTTTTGGGGTTTAATCACAATATTAAAAAATTATTTTTTTTTTACCAGTATCTTTTCTATTTATCTAAGAAAAAATGACACATGTAAGGCTTTTTCATTTTATTAGTTTCAAAATCAATAACTACAAATGCATTAAACCAACATTTTAGGACAATTAATCATTTTCAATATGGTACCAAAAATTTCTTATGGGTACTATGTCCTTATTCTTTCTGTAGTTGTGAATGGAGGTCTACCAGTGCATGTGAGGATGAGGTTCATCCTTGCTTCAGGCACATTATTAAATGTTGGTTATAGTGATCACCTGGAGTAGGTTTAAGGATAAATTTAAGAAACATTTCCCCATAATTTCCTAATCGACTTGAAAAATCAATAGTTTCTTTTGAGATGAATTGAAACATTAGGTTTCGAGTCTAGTTTTGTGCTACAAGTTAGTTTTGCATATCTTATATGGGATAAATTACACTCTCCCATCCCATTTTGCTCATTTAACTATCATATATTGCACGTAACTTCAACTATGATTATTAATTTCAGTGTCCAAATAATTGATGACATAAAAAATTTGATGAAAATTTATTTCATTTTGGTTCCTTATACTATGGAATTTTATTTCACGTTACCCCGACCAATAGTGAACATTTACTATTTATTTCACCTACAGACTAATTCTGTTTGCATCATTGTAAATCCCCCATGTAGTTCCCCTCAGTCTCAATATCAAACTGAGGATAAGTATAGGAAGAAAAATTAACCCTTTTCTTAACAACATGGACTCTGGAAAAATAAAACCTGTAGGAAATCATACATAATATGAGGAAATTATTACAGATATGCATTAACAAAAAGGAAAGGAGAACAAGAACCTTGGTTGTAACACATTCCTAGAGAAATAGATTCAATAGTTTAGAAAAGAAATTAACTTTATGTTCGGTTCAGAAATTGGATGCCATGATAATGGCAAAACCTTAAGAATTCAAAAGTAACAGCCTGACATTAGATAATTAGAAATCATCAGAAAAGTTGCAGGAATTTCTTTTTTTCGGAAAGTAATTAAGCTTTTCTGATAAGGTCAAAGAACGTATAAAGAGAAAAGAGTTTTTCCATCAGTAGCTGCTTCTCAACATTTTTTGTCTGAGTTGTTGACCATCACCTAACTCAACCTTCCGTAACCGAAAAGTTTGTATACAAAAATCTTTGTTAAGTAATTAGCTTGATTTACTGCAGCTGTTCTATTTCTTTTTTCTTTCTTCCTCCTCCTCCTCTTCCTCCTCCTCCTTCATAAGCCAAAAGAACTCTTCATTCTACTGAAGTTGACAAAGCTAATGAGTTGGCTAATTCAATCCAACAAATAAGGTTTGGGAAATATAAAAGAGCACCCACAGAACACATGGTTGGAGCTACGCACTGTAATGCTTATGCCACCCATGAAATGACAACTATAACTTGAGAATAGTCTGACAAAATTCTGATTCTCCCTTTACAACTCAGCCACCAGAATGCATTATTTGACTACAGTGCCTAATAAAATTTGGTATTGTGTCACTTTCAAATTTTGAAATTACTTATTTTAAAGGTTTGCTTACCATCTTTTTCAATGAAAAGTTATTAGTTTTTTATATTTTTTTATATTTCGGTATAATATCGAAAAATAAAATATAGTATTAGACATGAACTCTTGTTTAGTTTTGATTTATAAGTTTTGATTTACGCAGTCAAGAATATGAACACAAAGTTGCATACAATTTCCATTCAAACAAAGTTGAAAAGCATAACATAAATGGTTAAATCTAATCTGCTTTGCAGAATAAGGGTTCGACATATGCTTTTATTTTAGGATAATATTATAGGACTACTTTGGAACCATAAAGAAAATCGATCGTAGCCATAAATCTTGTCTTGATTTTGTTGTTATTTGTTGATCTTAAAAATCATAACATGATTTATAAAATATAGAACTACAGATGTATTTGTCGTTAGACTCAAGAGAACTATCAGTTTATCACACACTCATACTAAGATAATGGAAGAGACTTAGATAAGAGAAAGAAATAACTCTTTTAATTCGCTTATACTAAAGAAACTTTCAGTTCAATTTCATTAAAATCATCATCAAAATAGATTGTTTAGACACACAACTCTACTTTATTCAAATACTAGATCGCATATACACCATTTATAAATGTTCCAAACGTAGCTCGTAATGTCACATTCATACCCCACTAATTACACTAGAAATAAAGCCCTGCTAACACTCTTATCTTCTGCTATTAACAAATTGATGATTCACTAATAATTAATATTAACACACACCAATTTAATAATATAAAAAACTTATAATTCATAATATAAAATAAAACCGATTTCAATAAATTTATTCGACGGTCTCAAATAGATTTATCTAATGGCCACCAATATTCCTCTCAAAATTATTCACATTAAATTTTTCCCCTTTTAAATTTATCATATCTCACTTACCGTGCCTTCAAGTACAAATTATTCCTAATTATATTTATATTCCGACATATATTTCAGGGATGTGGCAATTTTTGTTCAAATCATGAAGGTTTGTGTCATGGAAACAATCTAAGTTATATGATTTATTGACAAACAGTGACCTCAAGTTCTGTCAAATCCATCATCTTTCACGAAAAATTCGATACCCATCTCAACCGAAGTCACTTCTTTGAAGAAAAGAAAAAAAGAACAGTCTAAAGTTAGTATGTAATGGGCTTTCTCAAGTTGATTGATGAGCTAGTACTCATTATGAGGTTGATGGAAATTTTTGCGCATTTTGGGTTTATTGGAGAGACTGTAGTTGTCATGATTCTGCAAAGGAAAAAAAATGTATTGATCCAGGATCCAGCTCTAACATCCAGGAACATCAATATTATTTGAATTTAATTTATTAATTTAATCACTTATAATTATTATAGTGATGGTGAGTTTCAAGATTTGTTAAAATTTACTATCAATTCAATTATTGTGATAGATTACATTAACAAATTATATCAACAAATTATGTTTTAATAATATTATTGATCGAGAAAATATATATTGGAGTACTTTACACATAAATCTTTTTATATTTTTTTAGTCCCATTATTGTACCTCCACTTTTAAATCAATAAAAATATGCCATGTGGATAATTTTTTTTATTTTATAATTATTATTATTATATTATTATTTTAATCAATAATTACAAATCATCGAATTCAAAATTAATAATTAAGATTGATAAAGATAAGGGAACAACAGTCTTGCCCAATATTTCTTTGCTATAATTTGGGTTCTGATCTCCAACACAAATCCTTAAAATCATTCACATGAAACATCATTTCATGCTTTCATGGGTTTTTGGTCAAATATTTTATCACATCTTTAGCAAAAGTTGGCTTTAGTTTCAAAGATTATTATTATTATTATTATTATTATTTTGCTAGGGAAACTAATTTAGAATTTACTTTTATACCCCCTTCCTCTTATGATATGGACCACACACAAGTCATTCTTGCTAATTTAATCATTAAAAATATAGAATAGATAGGGAAAGCAATATTTGTTTGGTAAGCTATTTCTTTCATGATCTCTCTCTCGGTATAAAATGTCTCAATCTGAGTATCAAAATGTCTTAGATACCCTTTCATTTCTCTATTTCTTAATTATTATTATTCTTCCGCGCTTAGATCATACGTTTTATACTTCCTTGCTTGGCTCAATCTTTTATAAATTGGAATCGCAAAGAAATTGATGTGGCCTCTCCCCTATTATTGTTATAATACATCAAATTCCACGATTCGATTTATCAAATCTTATGCTTCTACGCAATGACGAATCTAATGGGCGGGTGAGTGATTATTATGGAAAATCATTATTACTATACATTTATACAATATTAATTATGAACACCCGCACAATATATACACTCGCCCTCTTCAACCTTTTCAAATATCTAAAAGACCATTGTTATATAATTTCATATCGTAATTTAAATTGTTGGATCTGTCCCTTTCTCTGTCTCTGTCTCTGTATATCTATGAAGTCTTAAACTCAACTCTATAAATTTTCTTTTTGTTTTTTTATCAGCAACATCTTATCACTTAACTAGGATATAGCAATGAG